GTCAAGCGCGATGACGTCAAACAGGATGCGCATTGCCTTATTACGCAGTGTCTTACCGAGTAGGCGTAATAAAATTTGGTTGGTATATGAAAATCCTTTTAAAAGACAAAAGAAAACAAATAGACAAATATCAGAACCGTAGTCAGTCGACCTTTGTTGTATTTCAAAACAATTGCGGCTCGTTTTGCTGCGAGTTGTATATTTGTTTATTCGTTTGTCCCCGTCGCCAGCCGCGATTGCAACGACTACATTCTCCACATGCAAAGTAGCGACGGAAAATCGCCAACAAATAGCTTCAATTTGTATTGAGGACGTTTTGCAACTTTATTAAGTCGCGGCATTTTTGTCCTTAGCCGCAGCGGTCGCGGTGTCGCGGCACACTACGACCGGTCGCGATTAATTTCGAACAACGTTGCCTGCGACCGTCACACTTGCGTGTGTTTATGTGTGTATGTGTGTGTAGTATACAAGTAAAATCGCTGCCAACTACGATCACTAGCATCCGATAAAAAATCGTTTTAACTACTTCAAGTCACTTGCTATCAGCAGACATTGACAATTATATGTATAATACACAAGCGCGCGGCCGAGTCAGCTATCGAAATTGATTATTCAACGAACAATATGGAAAAACAGCTTCCTAAGCTAACTACAGCGTTTGTATGCGAAAAATTTCATTTAAAAGCACACGTGTTGTGTCTGATAACATTTTTGGAACAAAGATCCTTATCACGAGTAGGATTCCGAATCGGATTAGGCAAAAGGGAAAATTTGGTAAGGACCGCATCAAGGATGTAAAGATCATGAGAAAGATTCCTTGTGTGGCCCTGAACAGCTTAACCAATAAGGGGTAAATTGGGGTGCTTTGTGGGAACCTGACTAGAAAAACGTATGGGGTATCTTAAATGATCCTGACAGGATTTTGATTTGCGATTAATGTTTAATTTAGACTTCGATGACAATGGCTTAACAGTAAAATCAATTGATTTTTCTTTGATTACTTGAAAAGTCTTAAAATTAACTAATCCCGTCAGGGTCGCATATCGAGATTAGTAAGGAGTTCTTAAAAGGATTTCGATAAAATATTGTCAGGATTGGACTGGGATAAATAAACGGTTCCATGTACGTTTATAATACGACAGTTAAGTCCAAGCCAAACTGGGATAACTATATATAACGATTCCACGTAGGTTTTTAATAGGGCAGTCAAGTCAGGGCTGGATCAGGATAAATAAGAAATTCCCTAGTATGGCTGCGACAAAGCAATCAAGTCATTACCTGGCATTGGCCCATATGGATATTGCAAGTCTTTTTGGCAGAAATTTCCTTATATTTCCCCGGAGTTTCCCTTATTTCCTCAATAAAAAAATAATCCGTATTTAATGAGAACAGGGTGGATGGTTGTCAGCCAGTCGGTTAGTCAGTTTAGATCTCCCGTCACATCCAGTACCGTTCCCGAACAACCACTATCGTAGTATTGTAATATTTAAGTAGGTTTTTTAGTGGCAATTCTCCGTCAATCTGACAGCCCCCTAAAGTAGGCCATGATTGACTCTTGACTGCTTTTAATTTAATAATGGAGCATAACAATAGCCCTAATCTAGTTTCACGCCACGCTGAAAAAAGGGCACTTTTGTTGTCTGCCACTTGGTACGCTCTAGACCGTGACGATGGGCCGTTGCCGATTGGTAAAATAAAAAAATGCCGTGCGCTTTACAATGGTGCAAATGTAACGTAAAAAGTAGGGGATGAAATGGTTCAATGGTTCGTCCATAGAATTTAATTATAATTTAAATGAGAACGATAAAAGGTATACGAAAACAGATACTGATAATTCTGACTGGATATATGCATCAATTAAAACTACTGGTTAGATTTTGAAATATTTTTAATTCTTAAGTAAAAGTACATTCAGATGGGTTATTCAACATTATCATTATTACCAAGGATGAAAGAACAATAGACAGTTCAGATCTAATACCAATCAACTTAAGATTCCTTTCTTTCAAACCAAATTTTCACTCCATTCAGCCACTAATTAATGCCAAATTGTTTCTTAACAATAGTGAAAACTCTGTCAAAAGCTTTTGAGTGATTCCCCAGTTATTGGCATAAAAATCACCAGCTCATTAATGACGAATCTGAACATGACGTTTACTTACTGTCTACTAGTCAAAAGTGTTTAATAAATAACTATAGACAGTAAATAAACGCCACGTTCAGATTCGTCATTAATTGTTGCTAGAAGTATAAGAGCGGGTGATTTTTATGCCAATAACTGGGGAATCACTCAAAAGCTTTTGACAGAGTTTTCACTATTGTTAAGAAACAATTTGGCATTAATTAGTGGCTGAATGGAGTGAAAACATTTGGTTTGAAAGTTATAGTAGTAGTATTTAGCTGAAGGTGTAATAGTGGACGCTGGGTGCTATAAAAAAGAAAAAGTTCCAAGGATAATTTTATAGGCTAATGATGAGGATAAGGTTAGAAACAATGGAGGTATTAGAAAGAGTAGCAGTCTAGAGGACGTTGTTAGGACACTTTCTTCGACATGAAGGACTAATTAGAGACATACTAGAAGCTGAAAGTGGAGTTAGGACAAATAGTTAAGGATGTGGGATGTCGTAATATTAAAGGAATAAGATTAGCTCAAGTTTGGAAAGAGTGGAGGTGCGTATTACTCTGTCTCAGGACTGACAACTCCATGATGATGAAAAGAAGCATGGGGCGTTTCAAGTAGATTATGCTGAGGATACAATGGGTTTGAAATGAGGAGATACTTGGAAGAAACAAGGGCGCTATGTGGAAGTGAGTAAGGAAGAAGAAAGATATGATGGTAGGGCACCTTCTGAGACAGGAAGGGTTAGCTATAGTCATATTTCAAGTAGAAACAGGAGTACACACAGACACAGAGGGAGGCATTGCTTAAATCTGTTCGCAAATAGTTATAGATCCGGGATCTCGGATGTGGGATGTTTTAGTATTCAGGAAATGCGAGGATGACTCAAACAGGAAGAATCTTCATCCAAATACTTTGTCATGATAATGATGAGGTAAACCTAATTAAAATTTGAAAAGGCTTCATTATGACGAAAGTTGTTCACTGATTATTTATTTGGATACAGTAGACCTTAGGGCAATACCGAACCGTTGAAGGATCCTTCCTTCTCACAGAGTACATAAAATGCCGCAAGTACATACATAGGTATATATATATATATATCTATGCACGTACTTCCTTATTAAATTCCACGATGGATGCAGTTGTTATCGAGTTCGTACCTACTCTGTACTTTTCACTTCATCTGACACCGTCCTCAAGCAGATTACGTTCATTATCCGATCTTGTTGGATGATGTCAGGACTCTCCTCGGGAGAAGCTCTCTCGCGCTGGTTCGCTTTGTTTCATTATACATGCACCCATGTGTATGTGTGTATGTATGTATGTTCGTTCGCCTGCCTTGCTTGCAAATTCGAAAAAGGCGAGTTAATTAGTGTGGCGTGCCCTTCTCGCGTGATCAAGTACAGTTACCGAGTGATTTCCCGATCCAGACCGATATACATAGGTATGTTTGCCTGCTCGGGTTTGCACATACTTCGTCGTCGTTGCCCTCCACAGCCACCTCCGATCCAAAGAACGTGTTCATTATTACATATATATATACATGGGAGATTTTTGTTGCTCGCTTGTCGACCGACTGTTGCGAGGGTTATTATTATATTATTAGTTGGCCGTTCTCGCATCTGTCCAACGCCTCCCATCACGACTTCGGAGGCAACGAACAATACGCGCGGATTCATAATCCGCAGCAACAAACGAGAAACGGTTTTCTTATAACGTGCGCTTTATTGATTTTGCAATTCAATAGAGAATAGGGAAAGTACCGCGGGCGCTGTGTACTGTTTGTTGTTTCGCGCGCTTCGATGTTCATCCCGTAAACTATGCTTGATTGTTAGCAATCGTGCTCACTCCAAGCAACGGACGCATGATGCATGATCTCAAGAGTAAAAATTATTGTTTTACACCAGCTGAGCCCAGAATCCGTTATCGCTGAGGCAACCAATTATACACCCGAATATCGACCCGTTACTTTTTGTCCAATTGTCCATTTCCACCTCGACTACATCAAAATTACTGAAATATATAAAGTGGTTCTGTGCAATCCTTATAACTATTATTGAAGTGTTTTCGTTATCACGTAGCTCCAAAATGTTGTACCATGAGCTTCTACTTGTCCTTTGGGATACCTTTATTAACTAAGCAATTCTAATTTTATAAAATAATTCGAAGTGGTCTGTATTCTGTCGAAATTGCCAGACGCTGATCGGGATTTCGATCTTTTTGGATCTCATCAGCGCGTGGTAGACAGCTCTGACAGAACACAGACCAACTTTTACTTGCTGCCTTAACAGCGTGTTCTGTCGGAGCTGCCTGCGACGCGCTGATGAGATCCAAAAAGATCAAAACCGCGATCTGCGTCTGGCAGTTTCGACAGAATACAGACCACTTCGAATTATTTTATTCGATTAAGGTAATATCCTATCACATTGAGGTTAGGTACGCCGGGATTCGTTTCAGCAAGTAGATTTCCATATATTTAAATGGACCTTGTTGGAACATACGCAATCCTAAAATGTATAATAGCATAGTACTACAGATGGCGTTTACCGCGCCATTTGTGGAATTTTCTAAAACGCGCTGTTAAGACAGCAGGTAAAAGTTAGTCTGTGTTCTGTCGGAGCTGTCTGCGACGCGCTGATGAGATCCAAAGAGATCGAAATCGCGATTCGCGTCTGGCAGTTTCGACAGAATACAAACCACTTCGAATTATTTTATCTAAAGTAGTTCAGTGCAATCCTTTAGATTATTATTTAAGTGTTTTCGTTATCAAGTAGTTCCAGAATGTTGCAGCATCAGCTACCGTGTTTCTGGAGATTACGCACTTGTCCTTTGAGATACCTTTATTGACTAAGCAATTCTAATTCTGTTGTTGTTTCAGGTCCCGACATACCAGGATTTCTTCTGCAACCATTCCGGAAACCAAAGAGAATACGAACGGCGTTTAGTCCTTCGCAATTGTTAAAACTGGAGCACGCCTTTGAAAAGAACCATTACGTTGTTGGGGCAGAAAGGAAACAACTGGCGCAGTCTTTATCTCTTACAGAGACACAGGTCGGTTTTAATTAAGTATTTTTATTGTCCAAATTAACTTTATGATTGAAATGAGTTCGAAACAAAACGACTGACCGATTATATTCTGGGATGAATTAACACCAGTACCTAATGGGCATTCTACTAGACGGTCGTAAAAAGACAAGATAGTTAAAAAGGGAAACATTTTTATAACGGTCTCATCTAAGTAAAAGAATGTTAAAAAGATGTACAAGTTTGTTAAGAATTTGGAGCCGTATCATTACATAAATAGTACGACTGTATAGCCGGCTCGTTAATTACCTACCAATTATCTATTATTACCATTATTATAGCATTACAAAACCAGGTGATTTTAGAATGTAAATCTCACTTTAAAATATCCCGTAAATACCTAAGGCTGAGTGTAGGTCAGCTAATCTATCTACAAGACCAGTCTTTTATGCACTAATTAACGACGGAATTACGAGTTTTATGTAGCAGTAAACTTGATTATTACGAAAAGGAAAAAAGTACACCTAATTAGCCAATAACAAAAATATCAATTAACATTAAAAACTTATAACTTCTATTAATTAAGCGACCATGAATAAATCATTAGCTGTTTATAATGTTTATGTAAAACGCACCTCATGTAAATGACATAATTACGTATTCAAGACTGCATCAGTTCGCAAAGTATACGAAATACCAGATGTATTATTATTCGATGTTATTTGCGGTTAATGTGGAAATATTCACGCATTAATTTACTAAAATTTACTACAAAACGAAAAAATGCTGAATGTCGACGTCGTGCCCACTGCAATTTGTAATTATTTGTAAATGGATTTTCTATTTCATCATCAGAAGGTCACGTTGTCTTTAGTTCAAGAGCTGATTGGATAGCACGCATCTCCACGCCGAAATCACTAATTAATTATTTGTTATGCCTTTCTTTGCGTCCGTTTCTAATGTCTTACTAGCTTTTCCCGACTAAGCGTGTTGGTTTCATGCCGATAGAGGCATTTCTTCTTTAGGATCCCATAAAAGAAATCAGCGATATTGAAGTGAGGTATGCCCTATGAGTTTTTCATAAAAATCTTATGAAGAAAGCCTAGCACATAGTCTTACAAACAACTAACTAATCCCACTGTCTGTCTTATGAGAGTTCGATACAAACATCAAACATATGATCTCATCTTGGACAAACTTGCTGTTATCTACCAGTGGGTTACATCTGGAAATTATCAGCTGGCATAGACCGATTGATTTTTTCAAGGTCTTTTAAACCGGATAGCGATTATCCTTCATCATCATGAAAGCCACATGCTTTCCTCGACTAAAATTTATAAGGAACATGGCACATCAAGCGTGTGTTTCATGTGGAAAATCAGAGGAACGCTGATGGAGGCATTTCCTCCTAGATTCTTCTTTAAGATCCCATGAAAGAAATCAGCGATATTGAAGTGAGGTATGCCCTATGAGTTNCCACTCTTAGGACTGACGACCTTATGATGATGATATATCCTTTTAGAAGGTGTCGTACAACCCGACTTGTCCCTTTTTCTTATTGATTTGTATAGTCTGGCCCTATATGTTCTCTTCCTTTTGCCTATACCTTCTCATTAACATTTCTATCCATTGGATCATATTTCAATCGGTTTTAACTTTTTTTTATTTCCTTGGCACTCACCGTTCGCAACCTTACAGAGTAGTACCGTAAGTATAATTTTCAATTTAACAAATCCCATTTCAAACTTCAGTTACCTACCTTCTCGGATGTAGAAAATTGTCTCGAATTTTGATATTACGACAGCTTTAATCATTCTATCACCTCCCTTAGATACCAATCATAGTAGTCATAAGGCCATCAGCCTATCAAGACTGATTCAACACGTACCTCCAAATTTTCCAATCTTGATTCAATCATCGCATTTCCATGAACCTAGTGAAACCTAATGCAACTATATTAATCCAATATGTGCAGTATGTCTCTGACTAGCCTTCAATGTCCTGCCACCCCATCTCGCCTATTTCTCATTGACTTCCATATTTTTCTACCCTTTCTAGTACCCCATCATTTCAAAGTGATTTTCTGGTCATTGTATTTTTGACATCTTTATAACCTTTCTTTTTCCTTGGATATCCACGCCGTCCACGTTTTACACCCATACAAAGCCGTCCGACAAAAATTCACATTTAGTAATCTCTTTCCGAATTTCCCATTATGACCTGCATTATCCTGTGGTAATAACACTAGCTGTTCTGCCCTCTCTTCGCTCAGGAAAAATTGTTTATCATTCGGGAACGTTTTTGAACTTTCTAGAAAATTCTAAAACGATCAGGGCGAATTTGTGACATTCTGTAACGTTTTGACCAAACGTAGTAAGAAAATACTACAAATGGCGTGGTGAGCGCCATCTGTAGTACGATGCTACATTTGAGGATTACATATGCTCCAACAAGGTCCATTTAAAAATATGGATATCTACTTGCTGAAACGAATTCCGGCGTAGCTCACCTCAACGTGATAGGCACGTTACCATAATCGAACAAAATAATTCGAAGTGGTCTGTATTCTGTCGAAACTGCCAGACGCGGATCGCGATTTCGATCTTTTTG